AAAATATTTCATCTTTTTCATTTAAGTATTTAAAATATTTTTTATTAAAGTAAATAATTGAACTCTTCTTTTCAGTCAAAATAGGTACTTAAAATATTCAATTTTTTTCATCCAAGTATTTAAAGTATTCTTTAATTAATGTTACGTTTTAATTTTTTAAAAAATTTGAATGAAAAATTAAATTATTTATGTATCTATTTTGACTAAAAAGATAAATTTAAGTACTTATTTTGATAGAAAAAAATATTTTAGATACTTAGATAAAAAATAATATATTTTAAATACTTATTTATAATATAAATCTAACATTTAAATTAAAATAAAAATCCGAAGATAATAAATAAATAATTTATAAATGAGAGTTGAATTTTTAATCAAAAATTTTGTAGAGTAATCTATGTATTTAATATTCTATTTACTTTTATGTTTTTTATTATCATTTTAAAAAATATATATTATTGATATTAAATATTTTTTAATATTCTATTTATTTTTATGGTTTTTTGTAGAGTGATCAATTTACAATTTTTTAATTTTTTATTAATATATAATTTTACACTTCTAATTTTTTAAACTTATATTCTTGATATTAAATCTTGGGTCCCTCTATGATAATAATTTATTTTGTTTTATCTAACTCATTGTAACTTTGATTATAAAATGAAAACGTGTATAATTAAGGTAAGCAAATACGAATTAGATCATTCAACTTGTTCTGTATCGAGTTAGGACTCGATTGCTCGTTTTCTTTAATAATCTACAATAATTTTTAATATAGTAAAATTTTTTCCTGCATGTGACTTTTTTTGGTGAGTAAGAAGATGAAGTGACAAGACGAGGATGGGTTAAAACTTAAAAGTGTGTTTTAACTTTTAAGACATGTTAAAACAAGAGTAAATCTTGATTTTAGGCAACTGAAAACAAGTGCTAACGGCTAAGTTAATCATGTTTTTGAGGGATGAGAGAGAGAGAGAGAAAATAAAGATGGAAATGGAAAAGATCATGTGGTAAGGTTAATTAAGCATAGTGGTAATGGTGATAAAGTTGCAGCTGCTTGTTGCACAACAACCATGCTTTTGCTTACACTACTAAATTTTCTTACAAATTCCCAGAAACAATGGAGACCGAGGTGGAGAAAGAACAAGACAGCCCAAACAGCAAAAACCCAACACTACTTTGTCTTCATCAGCTGCGAGTAACATGAAACTCTTGGATAAAGGCAAGGTCATTGCTCAGTACAATGCGGATGCTGGTCTTATGGCCGACTTTGAGCAATCTGGTGTTTCTGGTAAGTCTTTAACTATTCAAAATCAGTTCTTTATAGTCCACAGAGTGTGCCGGATGAACAAATGACGGCTTACCTGTCGAAAATCCAAATGGGTGGTCTGGTTCAACCCTTTGGTTGTTTGATTGCTGTTGAAGAACCCAGTTTTAGGATCATTGGTTATAGTGAGAATTGCTTTGAGTTGTTGGGTTTGAGTTTCGACAGCGATCAGGATGGGTCTATAGGGTTAAAGGGTTTGATCGGGTTAGATGCGAAAAGCCTTTTGACGTCTGCATCGGGTGCTTCCTTGGCAAAAGCTGCGGCGTCGAGGGAGATTTCGTTGTTGAATCCGGTTTGGGTTTATGAGGAGCACCCAGAAGCCGTTTTATGCTATATTGCATAGGATTGATGCGGGGATTGTGATAGATTTGGAGCCTGCGCGGTTAGGTGGTCATGCATTGTCGCTTGCCGGTGCTGTGCACTCGCAGAAACTCGCCGTTAGGGCGATTACTAGGTTGCAGAGTGGTGATATCGGTGTATTGTGTGATACGGTTGTGGAGGCTATTACAGGTTATGGTGTACAAGTTCCATGACGATGTTCCATGACGATGTTCATGGCGAAGTGGTTTCAGAAATCAGGAGGTCTGATTTAGAGCCGAACTAGGGCTTGCATTATCCTCCCTCGGATATCCCTCAAGCTGCTCGTTTCTTGTTCAAGCAGAACTGTGTGAGGATGATCTGTGATTGCCATGCGAATCTGATCAAGGCTGTTCAAAGTGATGAGCTGAAGCAGGATCTCTGCTTGGTAAATTCGACCCTTAGGTATCCCCATGGATGTCACACGCAGTACATGGCAAATATGGGCTCGGTCGCCTCATTAACGATGGTGGTCGTTGTAAATGGTAACGATTTGACCCTTAGGCATTTGGACTGCAGCTATACATGGAACTCCGATTAGCATCACAATTAACCGAGAAAAAGATTCTAAGGACTCAAACCTTACTCTGTGATATGCTGCCGTGACTCCCCTTTTGGTATCGTGACACAATCCCCTAATATCATGGACCTCGTAAAGTGTGATGGGGCTGCACTGTACTTCGGAGGAAAATGTTGGTTGCTAGGTGTGACTCCAACTGAGTCAGAGGTAAAAGATATAGCTGAGTGGCTGCTCATCACTCATGAGGATTCTACTGGATTGAGTACTGATAATTTGGCTGATGCTGGCTATCCTGGTACTGCTTTACTGGGTGATGCAGTTTGCGGCATGGCTACTGCCCGTATCACTTCAAAGGATTTCTTGTTCTGGTTCAGGTCTCACACTGCAAAGGAAGTCAAATGGGGAGGAGCCAAGCATCACCCAGAGGACAGGAATGATAGTGGAAGAATGCATCTGAGATCATCGTTTAATGCTTTTCTTGAAGTGGTGAAGAGTAGAAGTTTGCCTTGGGAGATTCCAGAAATTAATGCTAACTCTTTACAGCTTATAATGAGAGATTCAATTCATGATATGGAAGAGAGCGGCTCCAAGGTGTTAGTTTATAACCAGCAGAACATAACCGAGATGCGGGGAATCAATGACCTCAGCTCAATGGCATACGAAATGTTTAGATTGATCGAGACGGGAACAGCTCCAGTATTTGGAGTTGATGCAGCTGGTCGAATAAGTGGTTGGAATGCAAAAATCGCGGAATTGACAGGTTTGCAAGCCGACAATGCAATCAGGAAATCCCTGATTGATGGAGTTGTTCATGAAGATTCACGTGGCGTGTTTGATAATCTCCTAGGAAGAGCTTTGCAAGGTAATCTAAAATATAGTTCTGCTACAATTTGTGCATTTGATATCCTTGCTATCAAACATAGTTATATACAAGTTTCAAATAATATGGTAACGCATTTTTTCCTAATAAAAAATCCAGGCGAGGAAGACAAGAATGTCGAGTTGAAGTTCAGAAATTTTGGGCTTCATCCAAAAAACTCGGTCATTTATATCATGGTCAACGCCCGCACGAGTAGGGATTACACAAATGATGTGCTTGGTGTGTGTTTTGTGGGTCAAGATATTACATCTGAGAAAGTTGTGGTGGATAAGTTCATCCGTTGGCAGGGAGATTATAAAGCTATCATACAAAGTCTTAGCCCTTTGATCCCTCCATTATTTGCTTCCGATGAGAACGCCTGCTGTTCCGAATGGAATGCAACCATGGAAAAACTGACTGGCTGCAGCAGAAGTGAGGTCATAGGTAAAATGCTGACCGGAGAAATCTTTGGTGGTTTATGTCAGCTCAAAAGTCAGGACTCGATGACTAGATTAATGATCCTGTTGTATCAAGGAATTAGCGGCAGGGATGCCAAGAAGTTCGCATTCAGATTTTTTGATAGAAACAGAAAATTTGTGGAGGTCTACTTAACAGCAAGCAAGCGAACTGATGCGAATGGAAACATAATTGGCTGTTTCTGCTTCTTACAGGTTATCGTGCCTGGCATGCAACAGGCTAGTGAAGAACACAAGCAAGAGAACAACGAGTTGTTTAAGAAACTTAAGCACTTAGTTTACATGCGACAAGAGATGAAAAATCCTTTGAACGGTATCAAATTTACGCATAAACTTTTAGAAACTACAGCAATTTCCGAAAAGCAGAAGCAGTTCCTCGAGACCAGTGATGCTTGCAAAGACAGATATTGGCAATAATCGAGTATACAGACTTAGGAAGCATTGATGAAGGGTTAGTCTCCATTTAACTCCATTACCTGGATAATTTGACCTTTGTAATCTCAACATTACTCCAATATGTTCGTTTTGCTAGTATCTACTAGTAATTAATCAACGAGTGAATTCGCACTAATGTCTAAACTGTTTGCAGAAGCACAGAGCTAAGCACGGAAGAATTCTTCCTAGGGAATGCTCTCGATACCGTTGTCAGTCAAGTCATGATTATGCTTAAAGAAAGGAACTTTCCATGAAACTCCAAAGGAAATCAAAACACTATATACTGCGATCGGATTAGGCTCCAGCTAGTCATATCGGATTTCTTGCATAACGTGGTGCTTTATGTTCCTCTGAATGGATGGGTAGAACTCAAGATTTCACCAGGTCTAAGGCTAATACGAGACAGCAATGAGTTTGCCCGATTACAATTCAGGTAAACACACGGTTTGCTTCCGACTTTGCAATGCTTTGTTCCTTAGTCTATCAGAAAGTACTATGAACAACGGTGTCATTTTTCCATATTTCTGTAGGATGACTCACCCAGGCGAAGGCCTTCCTTCCACTCTTGTTCAAGAAATGTTCAAGGGCGGAAATAGCGGGATGACACAGGAAGAACTAGGGCTAAACATGTCACAGAAGCTCCTGAACAAGATGAATGGCCATGTTCGGTATGTCCGGGAACATAACAAATGTTACTTCCTCATTGATCTTGAAATCAGAACGAGGAAAGGAAGACTAAAAGCATCACAAGCAGAATAATAATCTTTATGCATATATATACAAGATGAACAGATGCTGAGATTGCTAGCAGTTGAAATGTAAGAAACCCCAAGATATTTGTGAAGTATTGATTGCAGTGTTTAAAGTAAGCTTGCTCATATCTATAATAAACATTCATTAGTTACATTGATCGCGATAATATTCATTATATCCACAATTGATAAGCATAACTGAAAACTAATCAGTATAGGAGATGTATTCTTTACCTGAGGTAAAAAAAATTCCCAGACTACAGGCATTCAGCATGCATAGAGCATAACCAGACATTGTCAAATTACATTCATTTCATAAGAGAACCAAATTATGTGACCAACAAAAACAAAGTCTGCATTCCGAACTATACAATTTTCTGTTAATGGCACTACTGTTACATCCCTTGCCATCAAAATTGCAATTCCCACAACGAATGTTCCGTTTTGGAACACCGAAAAAGGAACCCAAAATAGAGAGGCTAAAGGCAGAGCAATGATGCAGAACCCTACATCCTCTCAAATACAAGACATTAGATATTGAACTCCGAAGTTCAAATGCTCAGCTAGCTCCCAAGAGTCTCACTACACAAAATCTGCATCCTGTAAATAACGGATTCACCCTTCCCATTTTTTTATGGACAAATATGTACGGATAAGTTAGCCTTCATTGCCCCCATGAATTTGGTACAAGGGCCGTCTCCTCATATTAAGCTGTTAAAACATTTCAAGCTCCTCACCAGCATCTTTCTTTTTAGGGCTACCTGAAGAATCACCTGAGGGCAACCCATTTGGCTGGCGAATGATATTCAAACTAGAGTGTAAATGCTCTGGAATGCCCTACAAAAAAGAACAGTTCATCCTTAATTATTCTATTGATGAAAATCAACTCATTAAACAAAAGATGGCACCTGATACTTGTAATTAAAAAAATGGTCGAGTAATTGAAAGTGCTTGGGAATAACTTATGCTAATGCTACCTGAGCACCACTATCTGGGCCCTCAGAGTGAAAGAGTATTGGGCGGCAGCGCTTATCTTCATTCATCAAGCTTGAATTCTGGAAATGGGCAACAAGAGCCGTCTTTCCTTGGATTCGAGCATATGCCAAAGAAGCAACTTTCTCACTATTAAACTTCTCCCACTTCTTACTATTAAATGCCTGCATAAAGTAAACATAAATCAGTCCAAAGAAAATATTCCAAGGCATTGGTAACAAGCTTGCCCTTCTCTTTAACACTAAGCACAAGTTCTCTTAGAAAGGGTCAAATCCAATCATCTTAAATGTCTAAGACACCAAAGTCGAAAATATATTAACTTAGAAAAATGTAACCTCATAAAACGGTATAATGTGTGAAGGGGACAGCATATTGATAAAGGCATAGCCCACATTGCACTTGTTCTGCATCATAAATGGGAATATCTATCAAGTAGGAACTCAACCGGAAAAAATAAATGGTCTAACTGCAAAATAGAACCCCCGAAGCAATTACCTTAAAATCTATGGGCAAATAGAGGAAATCATAGGTCCCCTGGTGATTTTCATCAATGGAAGCCAGCAACATCTTTGAGGTATATCTGAGGATCATAATGAAATAGAAATTGTCAACTGAAGGCATCAGTACTTCAAACGTATCAGCATGTATTCAATATTCATAAACCACAAGATTATAGAGGGGGACTGACTTATTCGGAATATTTTTTATCATCAGAGTTGTTCGAGTATCTTCACCGCTAATAATTTTATCCAAGTCCAGCTGAAACTGCTTTTTGTTATCCACCTGGTTCCGATTATTTTCAACCCGTCTGCTCCGGCCACGCTCAGCCAAACCCTCCATACTGTTGGGTAGTAGTCCTGGGTATAGGCCATTGCCTAAGAATACAGGACTTAGCCTAGGTGAAGACATCATTCTAAGTCTTGGTGAACCATTCTCAGATGCATTCCGTGGAATGCCAATACCTGAACTCATAGCAGCACGAGAACCCATGTTAACCATAAAACCTCCATCATTGTGGCCTACACCCATGCCTCCAAATGTAGTGGGACTCATGAATGAAGTATCCAATGATTCTGGGAAGAAACCAAAGTGTCTTTCCAGCGGAACACCAGATGGAGCAGATCCAATGTGATGGTGGTGGCGGTGTTGGGATGAGCCTGAAAAAGATCCTTGCTGACCTGAGTATGGAAAGCCATGGCCCTTTCCATTGGATGAAAATGGATGCTCCAAAGATGACGTTGGCCTGACAGAAGAGTTTGTGCGATCTGTATATGAATTTGGATTTCCCCAAAGAAACTGTGGCCCAGACATTGTTTCCATCCTGGAATCATTTGAAGGACCAAAAGTAGGTATGGTTCCATGGAATTGGCTCAACTTTGGCTCAGGCAAAGAATGGGAAAGTTGAAACCCAGTTCCATGGGTTGAATTTGTACCGGTTAATGCATGCTCTACATGACTACACCTTGCTTGGTCCTTGCCAATTGGTGCAACTTTCAATGAGTTTGAGACTTGGGGATGTAGGATAGAAGCCAGACCTGGTAATTGGTTGCCGATCATCGGGCTCATGTTCCCAAAAACAGGGGACTTACTAAGAGAATGCATTGGACTATGCTCTATAGGACTGTTAAACTGTGCCCAGCTGCCTGTCAGGTATATCACAACATCCTCAGTTTACAAAAATAAATAATGGACAATCAAGCCATGTGCACACAAATGATAGAATGTAGCTCAAACAGTCTTACCTGGAGGAGAATTGGCTATTGGGGAACCAACTTGATGTCTAAAACTTCGAGATTCATCTTGTTCAAGCTCTTGGTTCAGATGCAACATCAAGCTACAAGTTGAAAAAGATGACCAGTGTGAATTTTTCATTATTGCTATACTTCCAAAAACAAAAAAAAACAAGAAATCAAACAAAAAGATTCTAACAGATGGTAAACACAGAATAAAAAACGACATTAAAAAATTAAAAAGATAAAATAGAAAATGTTTGACAGTGTCTAGCATGCAACAGCCAAGATAAAGGATCCATCTAGCTACGTTCCTGCAAGGACACAATTGCAGTAGTTCTCATCGTTTGTATTTTCCTTGCAGTAGCGGCTCTACCAGAATTTCATCTCTAAAGTGCTTCTCCGAGCTCAGTTCGGTACCAAAGACTTGGGATGTTAAAATATTTCTTGGGAGTTGAAGTTAGCAGAAGTAAGAGTGGAATCTTCCTATCCCAGAGGAAGTATGTGATTGATTTACTATCAGAGTCGGGACATTTGGGAGCTAAACCATGTAGTAATCCAATGGTTAACCAGAAAAGGTGAATATATGCAGATCTTGAGAGGTATAGAAGACTTATTGGGAAGTTGAATCATCTTACTGTGGTCCTAATATTGCTTATCCGATAAGTATGTGGAGCCAATATATGCCATCACCAATTGTCTATCATTGGAAGGCAGTAGAACAAGTTCTGCATTATTTGAAAAGTGCTGCAGGACATGGAATTCTATATGGCAATCATGGTCATACTAGGATCGAATGTTTTTCAGACTCGGATGGGGTAGGATGCAAGGAAGATAAGAGATATTTTCACCAATAGCAAAACATTATTAGGTCCCATTCAAAAAAGGCACAGCTCAATGCTATCATAGTGCCAAAACCTAGGAAAAAACTTCTTTTCGGAGGGATTTTAAACATTAATACTAATAGAAAAATCAGGTTTAAGATATACATACTTGCGACGAGCTCCTCCAGGGCGACTAGGTTCGAGCTTAATACGTTTACCAGCTATATCACTTCTATTGAGTGACCTCAGAGCTTGTTCCGCAGCTCTAACATCATAGAATTCAATGAACTTATGGTGTTGCTTGTATGGCGTTTCCCTTATCTGCTTTTACATGATGAGAAGACTATTTCAGAAATGTTGCACACATAATCTCATGTTTGAAGCAGGCAAATATTTTCAAAAAGAAAAAAAAAATCACCTCTTTGACCTCGCCATAAACCCCAAATATTTGACAAAGATCTTCATTTGAAACTGAGGGGTCCAAATTAAAAACTACTAAAGTTCCTTGATTAACATCCTTCTCTGAAGGATTGTCCTAGTAGTATAGATTGGGAGAAAAAGTATAAGGAAAAAACATTAATAGAAACAACACTGTAGCAAAACAAATTAATTTGGGAATAAAATTGTTCTAAACCTTTGGAATTGAGAAGTGAATGTCAAGTTTTCTCCGTCTTAGTGGCTTGTTTTGTAATGCACGCATAGCCGTTCGTGCAGCACGAATGTCATAATAGGATATCATCACAAAGCCCCGATGTTTACATGCTGTATACAGAGTTCTAATATCGCCATATTGCTGCAAAAGTGGGTAAATGTAGCAGTCGGATCAGAAAAGATAGGAAGTGACTTGTAGTTCTTAAAACCTCATCAAGGAGCTAAGAAAAACAGGTTTGCCAAAATTCCAATCTAGAATTATGGGAACATATAGTTACAACTTTAAATTGCCCCATGCAATACTTTTAACTTGAAAAACAGGGAAGTTCCTAAATCAGGTAGGCCAGTGAAATCCAGCATCTAAAACCTGTCTTTCTGGTCCTAAGAGCAATGTATTACAATTTCACGCAATGCATATAGAAAAGGGTACACAATAATATAAGTATTTCCAAAAGCAGAATGCATTTTACACAGAAGCCCTAAATCAGTGGTGACAAGGAATGCAAACGGAAAGAATTTTAAGAATTAATTACCTCGAAAAGAGCTCTTAGTTCTGAATCCTCAACACTGCTATTTATATTCCGAACAAATAATGTCCTCGAAGGATGTTCACCATATGGATGTTCCCCAGCTATAGTTCCAACACCATTTGGAAGGCCATAATGGAGAATGCCATTTCCAGCAACAGCATCAGAGAGACTCACTTTTGACATACCAATGGTCAGGCTCTCTGGTGGATCAGTTTCCAATTCCATACCTCCACCACTACCAAAAATATTATACTCTTCTAAATCTTCCAGTGAACTAGGCAACCCACTTAAGTCAAAATCATCCATTATGCCTGCTAAAAGCTCATTCTCATCATCAGGCAGCAAATTTCCAAGTGCATGAGCTTCAATGTCTCCAAGTGGATCATTGTCTTCTGCATCTTGATGTAGGTTATTTAGATCAGATGGGACACCAACAATAGACTGATAATTATTATCAGTATCACTTAAGTTCACTGCATACAGTAAAAATAAGGTCAGTCTTTCCTTAATACGGTATATAGTCTTTAAACAAATGTTGACACTTACACTTTCCATGTGGAATAACAGGCAAAGAGCTAGAAAAAAGGGTAGCATAACTTGAGGCATGGTACGAATCAGAACCAGATAAAATCCCCCATGCACTTTCCACTTTCTTTGATTCCTCCGCCATTGGAATCTTAGTAGGATCTAGACCACACATGATTAACAAGGCCAATTAAATGAGAAACCACACATCGTCTATTGGCAGCAAAAGTGAACAAATTGCAAAATTACCTGAAACCAAATGTTCAGCCGACTGTGTCATTGCATTGCCTTCTGCCAAGAACAAGGGAACAAAATATACATCAACCTTGTGAGACATTGATCATTGCATGCTTGACAACTAATATTACTAATAAGAACAGCAAGAAACATTTTCTCTAAAATTGTTATGAAGGGAGCAGCGAAAAGTTTAATAAAAAGTCAAAATCAAACAACCTGCATAATTAACTCTTAAAGAACCTAACACCATGACACGTGGCATAATAATATCACAAAATATCCAGATCTTTTAAGCCTGAAAATGTTGAAGACTTCGAATTGGAAATCGAGTTCAAGTAAAAATCAAAGGTCTTATATTTTTTTATGTATTTAACTGAACCAATAACCTAATTTCTAATTCCAAATTCAAGTGAGACCAATTCCAAATTCCAAAGTCCAAAAAAGGGTATGGGTCCAATCAGCTAAAAAAATCAGTGTTTTGAGCAATCATACTATTCTTTAATGTCAAATACCAAAAACAAATATTATCTATTGACCAACTCGTAAGACAAACAAAACCCAGAAAACTTATTAAAGAAATATGCTACCTTTTATACCAAAACTCAAACTTACTTGCTCAAAAACAAAAACCTAATTCACATTAAACCCATAAAATAAATAAACGTCAAATAAAACCATAAAAAGAAACCCAGCAAAACAGTAAATTGAATGTACAACAACAAAAAGATGGAAAAAATAGATTACCTGAATGAGGTTCAAAGAGAGTGGGAAATAAAAAAGAAGAAATAATTAACTGATTTTTTTTCAATAGAAAGCTCTCTGCCACGATCACACGCAAACAGAACACACAGAGAGAGCCGTGAAGAGAGAGGGGGTTTGATTTTTGAAGTAAAAAGTACTTTGCTTTCTCTTTCCCCCTTTATAAGACTTTAATGGGTTTTTTATTTATTAGATTTTTTAATGGATTTCTTTAAATAAAAATAATTTCTTTTGTGAAATAATGATTATTGGACGAGTGGAGTTAAAGGACCAGAGAATGATTGAAAGAGAGAAGAAGAGATTGAGAAATTATGTGGGAAATTTAACTGTGTTTAAATATGGTGTTGGGGTCCGGAAACACTTTCAATGGAAATTAATAAAAAATACTTTTTTTTTTACTTTTGTGGACGGAGTTGAATCCAATCTTTGACCTCGGAGTCGAGGTGGAATTGCAAATTTGCCATTAGCTTGAGGTTGGTGGGAGGAAGACGATGATAATAAGCGTTAATAATTTTATATTGATTCGACGAGTTTTGATTTAATTTAGGCTCCGTTTTTACAGAAAATATTTTTTAAAAATGTTTTCAGTAAAATGAATTATATTTTTTAAAAAATGTTTTACGATGTTTGAAAAATATTATTTAAACTATTTTTTCATTAGTTGATGATTTTTTTAAAAATTATTTATTACAAATATTAAATACAATAAATAATATTATTTATCATAAAACTTAATATTATTCTTTATAAAATATTAAAATAATTTATTTATTATTAAAATATTATTTTTATAATTTTATTAATAACAATATTAATATTGGTATATTTTAAATATCTTTATTAAAATATTATTAGAATATTATATTAATATTAAATATATAAATAATATTATTCATTTCTATGAAATTAATAAATAATATAAATTTTATTAATAGTTTATTATATATTATTAAAATAAAAATATAATATCTTATATTAATATTATATAATTGATTATTTTATTGTAATATTAAAAATATAATATTATATTATTAGAAATATTAATAAATATATTTTAAATGTTTTAATAATTAATATTTTGATTAGAATGATGTTAGAATATTTTATTAATATTAAATTAATAAACTAAAATTATTTTGAGTATTTATTCTTTCAAGTATAAAGTTCGAAAAATGACTTACGAAAAATCAGACTGTAAGTCATTTTTCAGAAAACACAGAGGAAATTCTGTTAATCAGGAAAATGTTTTACGTTGACTAATCAGTTTTCTTCCAACCAAACACTAGAAAATGAGGAAAACATTTTCCAGAAAACGTTTTACGTGAAAAAAACGGACCCTTAGTTTTTAAAGTTTTATATTTTAAAAAAATTGAATTTAAGTGAGACTAAGATCAATTTAAGATGAAAATCTCTATATCTATTCGATCCAATCAAAGATAATATTATATTTATTTTATATATTTAAGGATAATTGTTATAATATTATTCTCTACAATTTATATTTTATTAGATTTCTATTTTATCGAATAAAAATATTATATATTTATGTCAAGTCAGTTTAGATTAAATATAAAAATTTGTCTTAAAAATCAGGTTGAATATCGAATCAAATATAATTTTTTAAACTCGGATAGGGTTAAATTATAGTGAAGGAGTATGCTTCTCGTAACAAATTGGTAAAAAATCTGATTCCACTCACTCATTGTCATCCCTAAAAATAATAGATAATATTGATCAAAATATTTATAGACTTCATTCGACTCGTAATCATCCCTACTAATAATACTTAGTGTGGATCAAAATATTTATAAATATTCAATTCATTTTTCATGAATTTAAATATTATAATCGTAGTATATATCAAATTTGAAACAGATGTTAATGTAAATTATCATTTTTCATTTATTCAAAAAATTATCATATTTCATTATTTAAATTCATTTATTTTTATGAATAATTACTATAATTTAAATATTTATTATTTGAATTCAATGCACTTTTATGATATTTTCGTTTTCTAAACTTATTAAATGCAAGTTTAGATACCCAGAAATGGGATTAAATTTTAATGATCATACTTTACAAGTCAATAATGTTTATCTTGCTTTACAGGATTACTTAATTATTATTATTATTATTATTTAAAATATTAATATAAAATTAGATGATGTTATCACGTTCGATGAGTACGAATGAGCATCGTTAATGATGAGTAACATTAAATTATTTTATAAAACTTTAAATTATAAAATACTAAGCCTATAATTATAAATTAATTTAAATCTAAATGTAATTTAATTAAAATATAATATTTATAAAATATTAGTTTTTATAATATTATTTTAATTATAATTAAATCACATATTAATTTAGAAAATTTATAAACACTAATTTATTTTCATAGTTTTGAAGTTCTCATCGATGCCGTTGGTATCATCTTTCATCACCGCGAACGATAAAGATTAAATCAACGATGAAAGATGATTCAGGTGGCGGTGATGTTGGCGGTGAGGGTGTAGGCGACAGTGCTAGCAGCAGTGCTAGCGGTGGCGACGACAACGATGACGGCAACGGCGATGACAGGAGTGGTGACGGTGGCGATGATGACAACGGTGGTGACGACGGCGGTGGCTTCAAAACTATGAAAAAAATATTGTTTAAAAAATTTCTCAAATTAATATATGATCTAATTATAATTAAAATAAGATTATAAAAAATAATGTTTTATAAATATTGTATTTTAATTAAATTACATTTATATTTTTAATTAAATTATAATTATATTTAGTACTTTATAATTTAATATTTTATAAATTAATTCAATAATATTCATCGTTAACCGTACTCATCTACGCTCGATCAACGTTGTAGAATTTTTCTATAAAATGTCCTAAAAAATATTGATAATGTAATATATTATTTACATGGGTTAATACATTGGTAGTCACTGAATATTTAGGGTATTGTTATTTTACTCGCTAAGCTTTTAAAACTTTCATTCTAATCATTAAACTCTTATTCGTTTTCATTACAGGCATTATTCTTAGCAACCGTTAAGAAATATTGATTTGTCACGTTAAAGTATTTTTCCCCAAGAATTCTTAAAGTCTAAAATTTACGACCAAAAAAATTTGCTTGCTAAAACATTAACATAATCATGTTTCAGACCAAATATATATATATATATTAGGTTGTGAATAAAAAACTATTAAATATTAATAAATATTAATAAGTTATTAGTTAGTTTAGTGAGATGAGATATTAAACCTTTTAAATTAAATTCTAATATTATCAAAAGTAAATTAAATTTAGAAAATTGTTCTTATAATAAATTTTTTAATACATTTTGGGATAAATAAAATATAGTATATGTTCAAAGACTCTCGACCGATTGACAATTAACGTTCATATCCCTAACGATATTCGAACTCATGACTTCTAAAGAGAATAACGAATTTCTTAACTACGATAAAAAGACACCAAAAGAAGACAAACTGTCACTTTGAAACAATCATAAAATAATAAGTGGTTCAGAATCAAAAGCATATTACAAAACAATGATCGAATTTTGGTTTGAATGCGTGAATGGGGTCTCTCGGAACGCACGATAGCAGGTCTGATGTGTGCTCGGTTTCTCTCCTTCGTTGGTAATCCTTCTTGGGTTATTCATTCTTGGGTGGTTGTTGGCTTTCTCGGCGGTTTTTCATGGATTCGACGTCTTCGAAGCTCGATTGGAGGAAACTTTTTGTCGGAACAGAAGAGCAGTCTCTTGATTTCCCCCCCCTGAGTTCATTGATGGAATTCCCACTGTTAAACCGCTATTGGTGGTGATTGAGGAGGGAATAGCTGAATGGAATTTTGCGGTTGTGGGTCAATTTATTGGTGTTGCTCCCAATTTCGATTCGATGCAGCGGATTATCCTCTCTTTGGGGGAAATCTTCTCCTGTAAAGGTTAGTCTTGCCGGTGTAAATCTTTACGTTTTTTCGTTTGGGAATGCTTCTATTAGAGATTAGGTGCTTGAGAATGGACCATGGCATGTCCAGAATAAGCCTTTGGTTTTGAGGAAGTGGGAACCCTGTTTGCAAAGACTTGATTTCAATCTCTCTCATATGCCTGCGTGGGTTCAGCTCTATAATGTACCTTTTGAATTGTACTCTAGAAGTGGCCTTAGCTATATCTCTAGTGCCCTAGGCAATCCATTATACATGGATTCCATTACTGCTTCTAGGGGAAGATTAGAGTATGCAAAAGTTTGTATTGAAATTTCTGTGGGGTCTGTAATACCGAATGAGGTCCAGGTAATTCTTAAGGATATCAATGGTGAGGATTGGTGTCTTTATCCCTTGGTTACCAAGGGCTTGCTCTATTTGTAAAACTTTTGGTCACCTGGCCAGCAGGTGTGTTGCTAGGCAGAATTCGGTGCCGAAGCAGGAGGTTCAAGTCTGGAAGAAAAAGGGCACTGCTATTTCTACCCCTTGTGATAAGCAGAAGTTGGATCCAGGTTTTTTGCCTTCTGGATCCTCAGGTAATGCCATACATGCTGCTGATGTTGTCTGTCCTAGTCCTGAATTGGTTGTTGGTATGGCTGAGGAGACTTCTGTGTCAGCTTTG